GTGACTAGGCGCCAGGCTCTAGTAGAGTCTTAACCTCTTGCGGCCTTTGGGCGATTTTCAACTGCAGAGTGCCCCTCTGTCTCCTCCTTGATGTCCCCCCAACTATCAGGGCATTTAACAAACAAATGCCCAGTTTACGCACAGTTAAAACAGACACGCATTGATTGAACATTAACTGATAGCAATTTTACGAAAAGGCTTCTCAATCGCGAACGTCATCTATCCCATTTCATGTCATAATCGATGTTTCTCGACTCATAGGAGAGAGTCTCCGTTACTGTGCAACCTCTTCGAGGAACTGAACAGTGGACTGTCGGCTATCAGGGTGGGTTACAGTTCTTCCAAGATCTGGAAGATCCGAAGTACAGAACCCCTCAAGTCTTGATCCGTATCGTTCGTAGAGGTGCTGCCTTAAAAGCAATGCATTCTTCGGATCGGTTGCTTCACTGCCCAATGGTGACACAGTTCTACTGTAGGTATTTGCTTCGTTACCCGAGACAGTTTCGCCGACAGCTGTTACATTATTCCTGCGAATGTACTCAGCGATTCTCCCTGCTGTAAGCTTAGCAGCTCGTTCCTCATTTGCCACACCCACTTCGTAGATCCGTACATCTTCACAATGAACACAGGATCGTTTCGATCAATTGCGCGTGGATGGGGTTGTGGGGTTCTGATGCTCCGAGCACAGAAATGCTGTGCATTAGTTCACTCGTGTACCTGAACATCAACTGCATCTGCTCCGCTGATGACAGACGTTTGTAATGACACAGCGAGACTTACAGTTCAGCATCCATTCCATCAACGTGAGACCTCCTTTCTCGCAGCAGAGTCGGTTTTGGAAACAGGTGTGCAAGATTTGGCTTGTGATTCGCCCATCGGCTATTTCCTGAGGTCCAACTGATTCTTGCTTGGTTGTGAGTTGAACCTGTTTCGAACTCGTTTCTTCTGAACTTGCTGAAATGCACGACGGCGGGCCATCGGTCATTGTACGTTTAACCCATCTGAGGCAATGAGATCCATCCTTCAGCCGCTTAAAGACGGTTTTGCATTTGAGGATGAGACGCAACCCTTCCCAACGGTAAAACTTTATTCATGAATATGAATGCAAACAGGTAATGGACACAAATTTAAGACAAACGCCTATTTGAACGATGGAATGGCTCATTTATAGCAGTTTTTCGAGGCTAGAGCCAATCCGCGTTCATCACAAGTGTGTTTCTCACCCGCATTTTTCCTACAAGCCGGTGTTACGGCTGATCCACGTGAAAATAGCTTTTGTCAAGGTCTGCACGGCACCCTGCATGTGACCATGGTAAGAAATTCATGAAGTTGTTAGACCCTGACCGTTGTTTCTGACTGATACCAGACAGGCAAAGTTATTCGTGTTATGCATAGCGAATGTTTGTCCCTCAGAAGTAGTTGTGCGAATTAGAACGCATGCAGAGAATGCGAATCAGACGAGGTTCAAGATTATCTTTCAATACTCTCAAGGGCATGAGGAAATGAACACTGCTCAATTAATTTTTACGATCATTGATGCGCCTGACTTGATATTTGGGTTTTACCGGATGGTGGGGACAGTCGCTTGCCTGACTGTCCGCTGATCGTCGCAAATTAATACGATATGATCGTCCAAGCCGAACCCACAAAATCAGATTAACATTAGCCGTTAGACGATGTAACACCGAATGCGATGCAATTCCGACGAATCGATATCTGCCATTGATTACAAGATGCTCATCGACCACCGCTTCGGTCGGTTGTTCCTAATCATTTCTGACAAACAGGGTTTATCTAAATATCGAATTGTTGACTCTGGCTTTGTCGGATGGAAAATCAATCGCATATTCTACAAGGTACCTGCTTTACAAACTCTAACATTTTGTTCAAGGGTTTAAAGCGGTGTCTGAAGGAAGGAAGATTGGCTGTAGCCATGATTTCTAAGGCTTATTTTGTTGTTGAAATAAATTTTTTGCTCTAATGATTAAATAAGTTTAATAAGTTCATAAGGTTTAAAGTTCAGACTGTTTAGGAATAGATGGGCTAATCCAGATTAGCCTACGAAGCTGAATTTGGGAACGAGTGAAATAGCAACATTTCTGCCGGAGTTGTATGCATGATGGAGGTGCTTCCGTTTAACTGGTATGAACTTCTGCTTCATAACATGTCCAACGGGACATACAACGCTATCAACAATTCGCAGCTTCGTATCTTGTATCTGACGGTAGTGCTGAATGTGGTCAGCATTGTACTCAACGGCAGCTGCGCCCTGTCATTGGCCATGCTTCGTCGATCCTGGAGTTCGAGGTTCGTTCTGTTGACGACGCTGCTGGTTTGCTACACTACACAGAGCGGAGGCATGCTGTTCAACGTCGTTAGTAGGTTGAGGCGATGGGCAAACGAGGAGGTGATTTTTCTGACTCAACGAGAGTGTTTCCTGGAAACGGCAGTGCTGAACATTGGCTCCTACCTCGTGCAGGACACCAGCCTCTTGTTGGCGCTGGACGCCGTTTTCGCGATCTGCTTTCCGGTGTTCTACTATTGTCGATACAAATGGTGGATCTTGGCTTGCGAATTTGGCTGCATGTATATGCACGTTGCCGTAGAGATTGCTTTGAGGTATATCAACGCGGCTGACAGCCCTGTCATCGTGTGCACTGAGTATTCGGACACGAACCTTGGTTTCGTCCTCAAGCAAGCCCGCCGGGACCTCTGTATCATCGCCGGTAACATCTTACTCTATCTGCTCCTACTATGGTTGGTCAGACGAGAACATAATGGACTGTCTGAAGACAAAAGACCTGCTTTGGTGGACAAGAGCAAAAAAAGAACTGCTAAACTTCTGACTCTGTTTTTCTGTGAGCTGTCATACTGTTTCGCCGTCGTTTCCGGAACCATGATTGACATATCCTTAGACAACGAAATTGATCCTTTAAAAATTGTCAGAACAGCCAGTTTTGGTTTCTTGACTCAAATAGGCGCCATCATGAACGGTGTTATCATCATTACTCGTCTTAGAATTATTAGAGACTTCTGCAGTTCGTTTCTGACATTGAGAAAGAGAAAATTTTTTTCAAATGATAGCGCGGTGATTGCCGTGAAAAGACCCTATGATCTGGTCAGCCTCCATACGACGTGTTTCGAAAAAACGAATAACAATGACCTCATTCTGTCGATTAAAAATCTCCCCTCAAATTGAGTTCTTGACATAAATCTGTTAGATTATTTAGATATATGTATAACAACGAATAGAAATTTAATTTTGTTAACCCAAGAAATTGGTAAACTGATATGGCGGTCGTTCTGAAGTGTTAAATATTCGTAAAATAGATATCGTTTGAAGCAGGTACTTATTTCTTTAATGAACACAATTTACTCAGAGCCATATTTTTCTGATTACCCATTGATCGTCTCCGATTGCTGCAGTGAAAGAATGGCGTTGAACTGGATTTCATTTCCTCATGCATATTCATCCGTTTGTACATCTGTTTACTATGCGATTCGTAAACTTGTGTTAAGTGGCTGTTCTGTTAGTAGAGATTGCAATTGTTTTGTACCATTTTCAATAAATGTTAGCTGAAAATAGTTAGTGTCAGATGTTTTACAAAAACAACTCTGATAATGATAACATCGTTTTTTTGATGCTGGCACGTTTGATGATATATGTCACCTTAAAAATTGCATTTCTAGACGACATTCACGCGCGTTCAAATTCTACTGACAATTGAACTCCCTTGCAAGTAGATGATTGGAATCCTGAAGTGCCTAAGTACAAATTGTGTACTTGTGGTTTTATCAATCTTACATCGGTGACTGGTTTTCGGCCTGAGAATGAAATTAAACAAATAATTTATCGAATGTTGCTACGATTGAGTGAATTAAACGATTTATTTAATGCGGGGCTCCGGTGTAAGAGTCTTCAACTCAAAGGTGTAAGAGTCTTCAACTCAGCTGAAGGCCCAATTTCGACAAGAGTGATCGATAGATTTCGTGCTGCCAAATATTGGATTAAAAGATTCTTGTTTTTGCTCATTCGTATTGAATTGGCAGCGCGAGTTTAAACGATGATTTCATTAGCACGATGTAATGCATTAACGAACGAATTGAAATGCGTATTACATCGCCTTCTCGTTTCTGCATGTCAAACGTTCATTGAAGCCGGTCATTTTTATGGTATCTGAGTACAGTTACCTGAATATGGTATTTCTTTATGTATCTGAGTATAGTATTTCTTTATGGCATTTGAGTCTAAAGGAACTCAAAAAAATATACCTCAACTATTTTATTGGCTAGAACAATCCCTTGCTCTCCCCTGTGTTGCTTCAAAAGCTTATATCGTATTATCATCGATATAAATTTCTATGACATAGTATGTCAATAGCCGAATAACTTGATAAAAGCTACATTAAGCTTCGGAAAGGAAATATATCGAGATAACGAATGAGTTGCGCTCATAAGCGTTCCATCGATATTCAGCCCGTATCACACAGGCATTTCCCATGATACTCATCACTTTCATAAGAAAATCATTTACCATAAGCGTTTTACCTACTGAACCCTGAGTTTCACCTATTCGCCTTATTCCAAGAACCTCCAGCCTTGAATATTTTCCACTTGCATTAGCAGTCATACCGAAAATACAGCAAAGAACAACTCTGTCGAGGTAATCCAAAATGAATGCCTCACAGGAAACTAAATTCATATTCACATTTCATTCAACGCCCTAAAGACTTCCTCTACGAATACGTTCGCGGTTGCCTGCGTGTGATTCCTAACCGCAGTTAGTGCCATCTTTGATATCCTGAGTAGTTATTTTTACCACCAAGAAGGAAGCATGATACGGAATAAAAACGTTGTTAAAACGTGCTCAGATCGCAAAGGAACCATTGTATCGAGCTAAATAAATCTGTTATGTTTTCAACCACCTGCTCTTCTACATCTGTCATTCAGCAGCCAAAACATGAACAAGCTGTTCGATATTCGAGTACCTAAAACTGTTCTCTATTCAGAAGAACATGGCTGAAATATTCATAAGTAGCAGAGAATGATTGCAACTAATCACCTCACTGTAGCTGCTAAAATTTGATGCAGAACTTCTATACAAAACTTAATTCAGAAAAACACAAGGTTTTTAATGGGTAATAATATATTAATGTTACTTTACAATATGTATAGGCGATTTAAATCATGCATCTGTTTTCAGAGAGTAAAATAATCTGAAGTTTTTATTTTTGATACCGGATTTACTTCGCATAAACACGCAGCCTTTTGCCTATCGTCACCCTGGGGGATGTTATTTAAGCAGACCACGACTCAACGGGATTTTAGCGTCTACAACACATTGGAGATAATACCATATTTTTGAGTTGAACAAAGGTGCCCCTGAATACATATTAAATCCGCCACTATCCTCAGACGAATGTCCCTGATGTTCCGGGATAGCTGCCAGAAATAAACTTTTCATTGCAGCAGTAATCATAGCGTTCCAATTCCAACTATTTAAATGTTTTCTCCATGTAGACTAGAAGCGAGAAGAAATGGGCTCAAAGAAGGAAACGAAAATCCAATTTTCACACCTTTCATCAAGTCTTCGTAAATGACGGAAAAGCTTCAATGGCTCTCCTCTTGACTTAGAAATTCATCTTCATCTTCCATCGCCGCTTCTCCTTTCGGGACGCGGAGGCAGACGCGTCAGACAGTGCTTCCA